CTATATATCTGTTTCCCTTCTTTCTCATCCTCCCTTTCTATCCTGATTTCCTTCTTTATATCATCGTGTCTCTTTCTCTTTCCTCTATCCTCCCTTTCCCTTTCCTATCCCTCGTGCCATCACGGCATCATCCCTATTTGCTCGACTATCCCCTCGAAATGTATCACTTCGCCTCATTTAATATCGTGGGACGTAACCCGTAGTGACGCCATTGTTCCCGCTAACAGTGGATCACGGCTAAAATAATACCTGCTAATGGCTCCTGGTTTTAAACTGACAAACACGGGCCAGAAGTGTAATAATATAATGCGAGATAACCTGGCGTGTTGTCTTTGTTCCTGCTGCTTATACCGCTAGCTGTAAATTCATCGTGTTTGCGTCTTGAATCACGTGGAACTGTATGGAACTCTTTGAACATCGAAGAAGCGTTGCAATTGTAGAAACAGAGGTTGCATTGCTTTGACGTTCGTAATTCGTTTTGATCAGCGGTTCATTGAGAACGATCATTAATGTCTTCTGGATCGTTCTTGTGTTAATGACGTACACGTTAAATATTCATATCTAAAATTATATATTTCTTTAATATCGTATCTTCTGTGATAGAAATAATTGATCAAACTTACTACTTGTACAAATTTTTCTAGCTATATTGTAAAAATTGAACATATCGAAGGAGATCAAAGTATTTCTTCCAAAACATATTCCAAAAAATATATATATATATATCTCATTCGCGAAATTTAATATAAGTATTGAAGATTAATAAAATTAACAAAATTTACTAGCAAATCGCGGTATTAACTATACATAGGGAAAGGTATACATGTATGATATATACATCTTTAGCATTTTGATCATGGTTGTTTTATTCTTTTCTTTCGACGAAATGGACGCTACTTTTTTTCACGGAACATTTACGGTAGAGGTAGCACGGTTCTTGCGAAATTAAAAACTTTACGGGCACGTTCATTTCGGCCTTTTAAGCGGCACGAGAAAAAACCCGTGAAACGCGGACATATTCGAATAGCGTTTTCATCTCGCACACGATCCCGCGAATTCTCCGTCATAAAATCCCGACGCGATCTTCGGGACGCGAAGTACGTCCAGAAACATTTTATTATTTCCTATTCTCGCGTATTATACCGTTGTATAATTTCACGGACGAAAAAAAAAAAGAAAAAAAAAAGGAAGAAGAGAGAGAAACGGAATGGAGAGAAGGATGAGAGAAAGAAAAGAGTAGGAGGACGAAGTACGTTGCACGCAGCTATGCACCCGACACAGCAGTAATTTGTAGTTTTTACGAGAAATTCTATATTTGCTCGAGCTTTTCATTAACCCGCTCGTGTTAACCGAGCTGCGACACGGTAATAAGGGTTGCATGAGCAAAAGGGGTTCAGCAGCCGACTGAGCGCAACTATGAGTCGGTACACCGAAGAGAAGAGGGGCACACAGTTAGAAAAAGCGAGGAAAAGAGCGACAAAGTGGGAGAACTTTCTGCTACTAATTAATTATTTCCGTAACAAATACCAGTAGAAGCGAACCTCTTACATCGAACGAAACGAGAAACGAAAGAAGACAGAATCGGTATACGTACCTACTGCGTTTATTAAAAAGCGTCCCGCTTTCTTGAAGAAAATCTGAAACAATATTTGCAATTAGATTTCTGTCGTGAAAACATTTATCGAAAAAACTAATAACAAGTGTTTGATCTGATAAGATGATTCGAAATGACAAATTCGAAATTTTAATCAATAATTATTATATGATATCTCATGGTACATATATATATATATTACATGTGTATATATTATATATATTACATTACATATGTATATATATTATATATATTATATTACATATGTATATATATTATATATATATTATATTACATATGTATATATATTATATATATTATATTACATATGTATATATATGTAATGTATATATATATATACATTACATATCGATAGATATATTACAAATATATCATGAAATATATATTATGTAAATGTACATATATGTACATGTATATGTAATTGCATCATTTACTTGATTTCTCATTTATCTCTATTTTATGGATTTATATCAATTAGTAATTTATCATCTTATGAATGGAAACGATCATTCTTGAACTTATTTAAACTTCCTTTTTTATTATTTTAAGTAAATTCTAATTCACTAGTTTCTAACTTTCGAAATATTTAAATATTCGTGCTTTACATTCTCCCGCCATTTTAAACAAGTGTTTAAACAACTCTGACAATGAACGAAAATGGTATAGAGTGAAAAACGCTTAAGATAGAATTGTAATCATAGATCACAGAGTAGCATAGATACAATACCTATATTGGAATAGAAAAATTGGCAGCTGGCACAGTTCACACAGAAGGATAGATGTTGCGTTACGAGATACAGGAACACAAGTGTAGACAGGATATCTCGAGAACTTAAGTACTCGACTAGATCTTCTGACACCTATTGGTATCTTGTCCGTTGCAGCCACGAGTGGCGCTCGTTTCTCGAGTTACAAAACTTCGCTAGCCAAGGGCCGTGCCTAAAACAATATTGGTGGGGGCATCGAGAGTCCGTACGACCCCTGCACATTAGATATTTATTTAAGACCGTCCGACACGGCTGCTTTGCTCTTGTTCACCGTGGAATTCATGCTTTGTATATGTGCAAATACATACATATGACGTGCAGCTCACTGACGAAGGTACCAAGTAGTCGGGACTAAGTACCCCCAAACCCGAAATGTTGACCTAGTTAATAGCTTCGTGTTTGATTTGACTACTGTTGTCCGGATAAGCGGTTCCGTAATGCGAGTCCTGCGCTTTTATTATTATCGGCCATGAAATTCAATACTATTGAAATTATCTTCAATTAGGAATACTGACACTTCTCTTTCTGTATTTTCTATACTTTTTTTTTTAGCGAATATATAACTTACTAATACATATTGTGGGAACATAACATCTTCTGGTTTTTCTCTTTTATTTCTTTTTTTCTAATCAGTATATTTGATAACTTTAGTCAAATATATATGTATATGTTTTAATAATATTCTCCAAATAAATATAAATATTACAAGATATGCTACTAATTTATGCAAGTGATATGTAAGTTGTTAATATATATCATAAAATAATACTTCAAAATACGAAATCTAATAGAAAATATTCGTTTCGAAAAACATTCCATATAATATTCCACCATAACATTCTTCCAGACGTATAGAATTTAATTCACAAATCTTAATGAGGACTCACAAGTTTCATGGAATCAAAGTTTAGCGAAGGAAGCTTATAACTTATTGTTTTCTAATTCTGACAAAGTACTTGATGCAAATTTATGTTTCTTATATTAATGTTCATGTCAAAAGAAGAGAATGATCAAGATAACCTAATGGAAAATATATTCTATTTGAAAATGTAGATTAATTTGAATCGAAATTTTTATATTTCTACTACATTGGAATATTTATTGAACAGGTTTCAATTGTCAATCAGCACTCCAGCAGGATATATATAAATAAAATAGAATTTTACTAATATTTTATTAACCTATACGTTGCGACTCGTTTTGTGGAATAAATAAAATAGAATTTTACTAATATTTTACTAACCTATACGTTGCGACCCGTTTTGTGGAATGAATTGTTAAAAATTGAACCGAGAACCGAAATCCCCGGGGGGCAAGAAAGCTAGAATCCAAAACTCGGAAGCCAACGAAAGCCATTGATCCTAATGCACAAGGAAGCGATCACTCGCTCTGGCGATCAATGAAGAGAGAGGAAAAAAAAAGGACTTTTCGCAAGCCGACTTACACGTTTCACTGACGATGTAACGACTTCACAATTCAAGCCGAGGCCTGTTAATCCTCCACCCGATCAATCGAGCAGACATTCATGCTGTTTACCGAAACATCCGCAAACTCTCTTTTTCAATACTGCATTTTCAGCTGTGCTTCTTTTTGAGTGAAACACACTGTGTCATAATTCGACTTATGTATTCCTCTAGTCGGAAATTTTACGCTTCTAATATTAATTTTGAGGTAAAATTTAATTCTTGGAATTATATTGTATTTAATTCGGAAATTCATTTCATTTCGCAGATATTTTTAAAAATTATTGTGATATCTATGAAAATTTATTCACATTATTAATTGAAAAAAAAAACGAAATAATTTTATAACAATTTCTGTGTAATTTTATGTACATTATATTACCTTCAAATACCATCTGCACAAACGATTAAATAGTCTATAGAACGGTTAACGTGTGTACAAACATTTCGAAGCTCTTTTATACAACATGAAAGGATGTCTCTTACGGTGCTTGGCATTGAAAAGCAGCAAATCGGGCCACTTTGCTTTGCTAGTTACCTCCGATATTTAGGATCAAAAGAATAGAATCTATGTAAGTTTAAAAATTTTTTAACTAATATTTGTGATTCATTCATTGAAAAAAAAAGAAGATTATAGAACATAAAATATGAAAATATTTTTTTACGTTAATCTTGATAATTTATTGAAAATTTTTAGTATCATAATATTTCATAAATCCTTAAATGATTCAAAACGTTTTAATAGATTAAATTTATGGATATGGCAAAAGCATATTTCTGCGTTCTGTCTTCATTCGGTTTTCTTTTTCTCCGCCCCCAAATAGCGCGATTGCTATTCAGATATTCGAACCGCGGGGCTTTAATAAAAATATTTGCTAAGAAAACAGTTTGCTCGAGGTACCCGGGAAGCAAGGCGAGTTATTCTTATATCCAGATTCGCTCATAATTTCCATAAATGCAGTAATTCGAAATAAGACGGCTGTCGGCATTTCTAACTTTTAACGGTTCCTATCTTCATACGTTTATAAACATAGTAAACATAAAATAAATATGTCAATGATTACATCAAATATATATAAAGTTTAATATAATAATATATTGTTTTATTTTATATTACGTATTTGATTTACTTACATTTCATTCGTATTATTATTCGTAAATTTAAAATATATGTAATAATGTCACTATCCGCAATATGTTAATACTTAAACATATGTATATTCCATATTTGTAACAACACATTCTTCGTTTTTACAAATACTCATTTTTTTAAGATTTTTCCTTAATCTGTATCTATGATGAGGCTTCATAGTATATCCAATATTTTCCATTTGATATTTATCTGTTGTTATATTGTATGCCTCAATATAATGCTACAAAAAAAAATATATAATATGCTAATATAATATGCTAATAAACTATAAAAAAATAATATGTCACTAATAATACATAATATTTTCTGTCTTATTATTAACAGTACCTTATTGTCTTCAAAAACACAGAAAATATTGTTAAATTTTGAAGATATATGTCGTATGCAACTAAAAGTATTATTCGCAACATCTTGACATTTACACGCCATATCTTTAGAACATAACTGTAAAAATTATAAATTCCATAAAAATAAAATTTATATTAAATTCATTCCTCATATACAATTGTTCTTATGTATATGTACATACTGCAAGATTTGGATCATAATCACTTGGACAACCTGAGAATGGAATACCTCTAGATCTTTCGCCTCTATACTCTATTAACAGAGTTCTACTTTTTGGTAATATTTTTTTTAAAAATGATGTTCCATCTGATGGACGCTGTATACCAGCTATTCCTAAAATTGTTGCAAATAAATCAACACTGCTAATAGGTGCAACAATCTTTGATGGTTTAATTCCAGGACCTCGTATTAATAATGGAACTCTAATATCTGTTTCATATGGTTGACGTTTATCTATTGGCATACTGAATTGACCTAAAATAATATGTACAATCCATGTATAAATTCTTATCTGATTTATGTTAAAATTTACTTAAGCATAAAATACCAATATGATATCCATTATCAGAAGTAAATACAATATAAGTTTTATCTAAAAGATTTTCCATTTTTAAAGTTTGATATACATTTCCTACAAGCTCATCAACAGCTAACAATGTTTCCCATCTTTTTCTATAGATTTCATCTAACTTAGGCAATAAATTATCAGGAAGTGGAGATGGACCCCTTTGCACTAACCAATGCTTATCCTATTAAATAATACAGTTTAATAACAGTTTAATAACGCAATAACATTAAAATTTATCTCAAATCTTATACCATTTGAGTCTGTACATTGAAATTAGGTGTTCTTTTAGCTTTCACATCTTTATATTTATCAATGTGCCTCATTGCTGGTGTAAAAGGTGCATGAGGTGCAGGTGGTGCTAAAACCATAAGAAATGGTTGACTATTTGGATTACGTGCCTTAATAAAGTCTACTGCCAAATCACTCTGAAATGTAATTTTAAATTCACTGCATATATATACATATATGTACACACTTTTTCATACTTACGATTACATCAGTAAGATAATCATTTGGTTTATTACCAAACATTCTTTCAGTTCCATTTATTGACAAGGAGTAATTATAATATTTTGAATTCCCAATAAGCCCAACCCACCAATCCCATCCTATTGGTACATGACCAGATCCACCTACTACCTTATCTCCATACTTCATAAAATTTTTTAAATTAAATTTCATTTCTTTACTTTATATGAAATTGATCATAATTTATATTTTGTATATATGCACCTGATTTAAGTATTTTCCAGCATAAAAAGTTGTATAAAGCATTTCTTTTTTCAAATATGCTGCAAATGTTTTTGGTTCTTGTATCCTTTGCCACTTAATACTATTACAGCCTCCGCTAATTGAATTATTTAATACTAAATGATTATGTTGATATGTTCCAGTTAAAATTGATGCCCTATTTGGGCAACAGATAGGCGAAGCAACGAACTAATTATTGAAAGAATTATTTTTGATTAAGCGTAGTTATAATTAATAATTATTTATTAAATTAAATTTAATAAATTTAATCTCTAAATGTAATAAATTTAATTTAATAAATTAAATCTTTAGCTTACACAATTTAAAAATGTTGCACCTTTACTTCCAATTAAATCCAATGTATTTTGCATTGGTGTCTAAAAATAACAGTCTAATTAGTTCACACGTTTCTTCATTTCGTATTTCTTTTTTATATTTACCATGCCATCAAGAAATATATCCAAATCATCAGCAATGATTAGTACAATGTTTTCTGCACAATTTGATAACAATATACGACTTATAAAGACCCAAGTTAATAAAACAATCATTTTCTTTTGAAGTTGAAATAATTTTACACTATTGAATTGATAACTCTTTCCCCTAAAAAATTTATTTCATATAATCTATTTAAAAACAGTAAAATTCTATACTAAATTATTATATAAATTAAATTAATATTCTATATTACATATTATTACCATCAACTAATATCAATAATAAATTAGAATTATTATAAAATTGAAATGTTAAAATTAACTACGATATTACAAAATCAAATTTCCTTCAATAATGTATAAAGTTCACACCAGAGGACACTAGTATCCAGTAAATTTGTACCTACAAAAGTATTTAAATATTGTATGAAAGAAAAACATTTAGAAATAAAAAATAAACCAGAGTGTTTACATTTATAGATTTCGTTGATAATAAATTATTAATTGATAATAAATATATAGTGTTATTAAATGTCACAATTAAAATGTTCATAGATGCAATAACTTTCGGTATTACCAACTGTCATTTAGTGCTTGTTCAATTCGATATTACGTTACATTAAATAAATAAATAGTTACGTTGCATGATTTCATTTTTCATAACCAAAAACATTGTAATGGGTACTATTAAGTGAACAATATGAATGAAAAAGTGTTTTTAAAATTTTGAGGTTAGCAGGTTCAGGTTAGATTGGCAATGTGCTGTGAAACTATTCGTGGCATCCGCTTCCAGACTGCATTTACTTGTCGCTCACATGTGTCGGTTGTGTGCTGAAAATATTTTCATCTATTTATTGTGAATATTTATTAACTTATTAGTAAAAATGAATATTTCAACGAACGAGGGCAATCCGAATACCTTAAAATTAATAATTGCAGCTAAATTTGCTCAGCAAACTGTTACTGTAAAAACGGTACAACCAAAAGGTGAGAAATTTAATGTTTCCGCCTTAAATAATTCAATTTCTGATTATATGATGAAATATCATATGTTTGTTTCATTTGAAGATCATAATTTTTAAATCCTTTGACTTTCATAAGTAATCTGTAGTAATTTAAATTAGTAATGTTTAATAGATATATATATTTATCATATAATTTATATTTTAATATTATTATCACATTAGCCTTGAAATAATAAAACATTGTGATTTTTAATTAAAACATGTTCTTATTGAAGTACAGAAATATGTTTTTATTCAATAATTGTTTATTCAATAATCATACATAATAAATTAATTTTTTATATTGTGAATCTTTTAATTATACAACATTGTTGTAATTGACTTAAAATGAGATGTTCTATTTTATATTCTTTACAGCGAGCTATTTGGGCCGTTTACCTTCTATTGAATTTCCATCTGGGTTAATATTATTTAGTACCAATGCAGCAATGCAGCTCATAATACCTTTATCTGAAGAATTTAAAATTGTTAATAATAAATGGTTGGAATGGGAAATATCTCAGTTACAGGTGAAATATAATAAATTGATTTAGATATTCATAATATATTTTAATAAAATATTATAACTGTTATATTTTTATAGCCAGCTATAACACTTTATGGTAGTACAGGAATTTACAAAACTTCACAAAAATCATGTTTATGGTCGTTATTAAAAGAACTTAATAATGCATTAAAAGACAAGCAGTACTTAATTAAGGTAATTTATTATTTTGATGTAATCTTAATTCATAATTATTGTAACGAAGTTAAAGTTTAATTAAAATCATTTTAGGGTAATAATGACTTATCATTGGCAGATATATGTATTTGGGTAACTCTATGGTCTACTATAATGGTCACAGAAATTGGGAATGAATTAAATAAAGAATATTTATCAATTAAAAATTGGTTATCCAATATAGAATTGCTTACAGTTATTCAGGTTTTATTATTAGTGTTATATTTTTTTATTAATATCAATGTTACAGTTAATGATACTTATATATTTAATTGTTTTAGGATTCTATCAAAGAATATAGTTTTGAGAGAGGCTTAAAAGCAATTTTAAGTATTGAAGCTGCATCTTGGTTTCCTGTTAATGCTATTTTAAATTCTAAACCTTCTAAACCGGCTGATGTAAACTTACTTTAATAATTATTAATATATATTATTACATTTTCCTATATTTCATATTAATTTCAGCTTAGTCCAACAAAAGAGAAAGAAATGGAAGCTGTTAATCAGGAAGAAATACGGAATATTTCAAATAATTGGTCTTCTAAATCATATCCTGATGTAAAAAATTTTCCTTATCCTGTGTAAGCATAAATGTACATAAATTATTTTATCTTAAAAGAAATAATAAATACATAATCAACATAAATTTACATATTTTTAGGTTGCCAAAAAAAGGTGAAAAAAATATCTTAATAACATCAGCATTACCTTATGTTAACAATGTTCCTCATTTAGGAAACATTATTGGTTGTGTTCTTTCTGCCGATATTTTTGCCAGGTTTGTCTCATAATACTTAAATTTTGTAATAATGTCACACAAATATTTATATTTTTAAATAAATTTCTTGTTCACAGATATTGTAGGCAAAGAAATTATAATACTCTTTTTATTAGGTATGTATTTTTCTTATATAATGTAATGATAATAATGATGGTTTTTAAGTGTTGAATTCGTAATAAAAATAAAACAAATTTTTAGTGGTACTGATGAATATGGTACTGCTACAGAAGCTAAAGCTTTGGAAGAAAAAACAACACCTCAGAATATTTGTAATAAATTTTTTGACATACATAATGATGTCTATCGATGGTTTAATATAGGATTCGACTATTTTGGTCGTACAACTACACCAGAACAAACAGAGTAAAATAAATCTAATAACTGCAGAATCATTTAAAAGTATAACATAGTTATATCTTAAAGTCAATATAATATTTGATTTTTCAGAATTGTGCAGTCATTTTTTTTGAAAATTAAATCAGAAGGATACATATTAAGTGAAAGTGTAGATCAGCTTTTATGCGAATCTTGTGATAGGTTTCTGGCAGATAGATTTGTAGAAGGAACCTGTCCAAGGTGTAAATATGAAGATGCACGTGGTGATCAATGTGATGGATGTGGTCATTTAGTGAATGCAACGGATCTAATATCACCACGATGTAAAGTGTGTGGCAATAGGCCTATTGTTAAAAAGTCGCAACAGTTCTTCTTGGATTTACCTAAGGTGAGAATTTTCTTTGCGATATTATTTATTATAAGCGTATCATATTTTAATAGAGAATATTATTTTGCAGTTAGAAAACAAGTTAAAAAAATGGTCCTCAACAGTAGAAAAAGGATGGTCAAGTGTTGCAAGAGTGGTTGCAAAACCGTGGCTACGTGATGGACTTAAACCACGATGTATAACGAGAGACTTAAAATGGGGAATACCCGTTCCGATAGAAGGGTTTGAAAATAAAGTATTTTACGTTTGGTTCGACGCTCCTTTTGGTTATATCAGTATTACAAAAAAATATACAAAGGAATATCAACAGTGGTGGAAGCCTAAAGATATACAAGTTGATCTATATCAATTTATGGCAAAGGACAACGTTCCATTTCATGCAATCATGTTCCCTGCTTACTTATTAGCAGCTAATGAAGATTATACATTATTGAAGCATTTAATGGCAACAGGTATAAATTTATATTAAAGACAAAAGAACTACATTGTTAGATATTTTGAAATTATTTTATTTAAACAATAAATTATTAATGATTCAATCTGGTTTTAGAATATCTCAATTATGAAGATACAAAATTTTCTAAATCGAGAGGTATTGGAGTGTTTGGTACTGATGCTAGAGATACGGGTATACCAGCTGATGTTTGGCGATTTTATCTTGCATACGTTAGACCCGAAACGCAAGATTCAAATTTTAATTGGGCAGATTTAGCAACCAAAAATAATAGCGAATTATTAAATAATTTTGGAAATTTTGTTAATAGGTAAGTATCTCTTTATGATTGAATATGAATTCTAATTTTTGTTTTTAATAGTGTTTTCAAAAATTATTTTCAATAGGGCTTTAGTATTTGTGGAAAAATATTTTGAGTCTAAAATACCAACAATAGAACTTCAAGAAGATGACTTAATATTACTAGCATTGGCTCAACGTGAATTATCATCTTATATTCATGCTTTAGAGCAAGCTAAATTACGCGATGGTTTGAAACATGTTTTAGCGATTTCAAAGCATGGAAATCAATATATGCAATTCCAAGAGCCATGGGTGAAAATCAAGGGAATTGATAACGATAAGTAAGTGCTATGTCAGTTTACATAATAAGATTATGAAGTTCGTAAGTTGTTTGTACTGTAGGCCTTTACATGTTTTCATGAACATATTTTCTCTTTCTAAGCTTAAATATTCCGTTTTATTGCATGCTCTCCCTATTTTATTTTGTTGTTTTCGTTTCACGAATGGGAATCCATATTTTGTAAAATAATTTATTACATTAGAGATTAGAATATCTTTATTTCCTAGGTACCCTTGTTCAATGAGGATTTATGTTGCTGTTACATGACTTAATTTTATGCTGTAAAATAAGTCCTGTAAACTGATTGTGACTGTTAATCAACTTTCATGTATTAAATTATATTGTACAGGTCTGTTACAGTACTTGTGAATAACATTTGCTTAATAGAACTAAGTGGCATCATTGTTTTTAATTTAAACGTAATGTAATTTTGTATCTTTTTTACTGTTTGTAGAAGAAGAGCTGGAACGATCATCGGTATTTGTTGTAACATGGCATGCCTTTTATCATCTTTATTGGCTCCATTCATGCCATGTACAGCTCGCGAATTAAGATCGCAATTAGGATTGCAAACTAACAATTATGGCTATATCCCTGATGATATTACAAGCATACTTCCCACAGGACACAAAATTGGCAAACCATCTCCTCTGTTTAAAAAGATAGAGGAAAAAGATGTAGAAACATTAAGAAAGAAGTATGCTGGTAAACAAGATACTACAAATAGCGACGAACATGGTGATGTCAAGTCTTTAGATAGTGCAATCGCAGAACTGGTTGGTAAATTTTTCAATTAATGATGCAAAATTTAACACAACGCATATATTATATATTTCTTTATTTTCAGGATAATAAAGTTAAAGAACTAAAGGCCAAGCACGATAAAAGCGGATGGCCATCTAAGCAAGTTCAGATTTTCGTAGATTTAAAAAATAAACTTTCTGACCTTATAAGTGAAAAAAATAACGAACCGAAAAGTAAAAATCCTGAGAATTTTGTACCTGAACAAAATGGAGATATTTCAATGGACGTAGCAAGTTTGGAAGCAGCTATCACCAAACAGGTATAATAAAATAGTATATTGATGATTACTTTGAGTGCTGGATTTCCTAATTATTTTTGTACAATTGATGTTTCGATTTTAGGGCAATCTTGTACGTCAATTGAAAGCTAAAGAAGAAAAATCAGTATGGCAACCAGAAGTAGAAAAATTATTGAAATTCAAAAAACAATTAGCAGATCTCACTGGAACAACTCCAGCTCCGACTGACAAAAAATCGAAAAAAAAGAAATAAACAGATTATTAAACAATATGTATACAATTCACATTATTAAAACCTATAAAGGTTTTATATAATAAATAATAATTGTACATTTTTTATTATAACATACGCACTTTGGAATAATACCACATAGTATTTTTCACATTTAAATAATGTAATCTATAGTTTATTTAATAAAATTAATTTATACATCGAGCATAAAGTTATAAAATTTTAACAATTTTTGTTATACGTTTCTTTTTTGACGTAAAATAAAAAAATAACATAATTCATTTAATTAAAACAAAATTTATTTTTTAAAAACTATATTTTTTTTGGTAATTAGAGCTTTTTTTGTCTTTACCATAGTTTTGATTTGTGGTACAATATTTTTCTGATTACGTTTTTTTACTCGATTTTCAGATTCTTTTATTTGTTTCTGCTTTCTCTGCATTATGTGAAAAACTATATTCTCCATAAAACAAATGACAGCTGATAAAATAATGCCAAAACATAAGACAAGTATAATTGGTATCATTTCATGTATTGTCACACTTGATACGTAATGCTTATCTTTGTTACAATAAGGTTTTCTGTAACTCCAGCGTAACACTTCTCGCTTTCGAATTCCCGAAGTATATATTCGAATAAGGCTATAATAATATAATTACTAATTCAATTGGAAAAATATACAGTACACACTATTTTAATGGACTTATTCTTATGAAGTTTTCTTACCCTATTTTTGCTATTTCTTGGAAAGGACTACGTTGAGCTGACCACAAACCTATCGAACCAGGACGAAGTAAATGAACTTCGGTAAGCTGACAGATCATTTGTTTGTCAAAACTACGATCTATAAGTGGATAAACATTGGTAGGCTCTGCGTGATAAGCAAATCTAAGATTCGAGATTCCCTTTACGCCATCCTCTAGAGAAAGAAATCTTTTGTCTTCTGGTATGGTATTCCAATATTTTGCAAAATATTGGACATCGTCCGCAGGATACTGAAAGATGTTTTCCAGCCGTGAAAAATTAATATCCATGTATGTAACGGAAGTGAAATTTTAAAGAAAAATCTGTTCTCAAGTGGATGGAAAATTAAAACTTACTCGTAACAAATAATTGAAATATATATCTTTGTACGCTGCAAGTTTCATCTTACTTTTCACTAATGAGTACAATGAATCGTTCATTTTATCTAAAGGTACATTCAGCCGACTAGATACTATTGCTGCTGAATAATAATTATACACTAGTAAACCAAAGATCATAGTATGAAGGAAAGCAACGCGGCTTGAAAATTGTGTACTGATAAATGGTAATCCTGCAATATTAGAATATGAATTTAGTTTTTTTTTTAACAAATGAACACTTGTGTCATTGTGATAAATATATGGTTAATAAACCTTGTTGACATAATGCAGCGACAGTAATGAGGACTGTGATCCCATAATCAGAATCAGTAACATGTTTCTCAAGTTTTAAAATTATCCACAAAGCGAAAATGATGATGACTATTAATAAAAAGATCACGCACCAAACATTTCTCGAAAATGGTCTAAAGATTATGTTCATATCCACTTTTAACGAAGGTTCAGTAAGAAATATAAAGCAGGTTCTGTGAAAAATATTTAAACAATTATTTTGTACTTTTACATACTATTTGTTAAAAATGGTAATAATGCTTATTGTGTTATTTATGAAATATATATATATATATATATAGTCAACTTTTACAATACCTTACGGGCCAAACTTGCAAAATTACGTCCGCACGATTGATTCTTTCAATAGTTATAATTGACGGAAAAAATCCCAGGTGATATTTACCTTGATGAAGGCCAGAAATCAACGGTCCAACGCTATCATTCTTTTCCCAATGATCCAACTCTATTAGTTCAAAACTAAAAATACCTTACATGATGTATGAACAAGTAATCATAACATTCTATGATAAAAAAAAAAAAAAATGAAAAATTACGTGAAATTGAATAGATCTTTAACGTGTTCCATAATAGCAAATCCAAATTTAGACCAATTGTCCGTGTATGTGATACTCTGTTCTTGCAAGTATTCTACCAAACTTTGATCCTTGCGTCTACTTGTTGTCTATGCAAAAAATATGCAAAAAAAGTGAAATGAAATTGAATAGAATGTTTAAGTAGCAAATTTAAATTCAGCGTTTAAAAGCATTTCTTCATGCGAAGCATCTTGTATTGCTTTTAATTTTTTATTGCATTTATTTTTATGTTTTAATTTATCATTATCGTGGTCCTAGAATTTTCTAGGTATGCTTACGAGACCAGCAACTTTGATCTTCATTTTATGATAATCCCATCTTCTGGTGAATTTATCTGTTCGTAAAGTAATCTGTAATCCATCTTGTTCAGTCCAGGTACCAAGTTCCGTAATATTTATCAAGCCACCGCAAGATTTGCAATGATTATATATATCATATAGATAATAACCATTGTTATTTGGTATAGCAATCGCGATATCCGTGATAATGCTAAACACGCTGTCGTTTAATAGTTGGACAGTGTGGCTCATATTATTTCCCAGAATTAACCATTGATGCGAATGATCGTACATATAATGGATCGAGGTCTAAATCAAATTGGAAGAGTATCGTACTAGTAAATGATATGCAGAAACATGATCTCAATAATATGATTATACCTCGTAGAAAATGTTCATTACGTCTTCGTCTGCAACTGAACACCGCAAATCTAAAAATATGCCTAAATTCCAGTAAGTAGTGCGCAAAAATTCGAATACATCGATCATCGATGTAAAGTGATTTATAGACACCATAATGCCGACATCATTGAGAAGTTTAACCACTTGGTAATCATCTGCATGCAAATATTCTAACTTTAAAGCTCGAAACGGGAAGTTGTTACTGAAGAAGAATTTTCTTAAACTAAAAGTATTTTTAAGAATGTGATAATATTATATATAAAAGTAATATAAACATTATTTCACTCATAATAATCGAGAAATTTCTTTTCAATAGAATCAAGACTACCCACTCTCGATTTGTCCACAAGAAAATCCAGCCACTCTAGTAACATCTTTGAACACAAAATAATCACGGATCATATTTGTTTTATCTGCATACGATGCAACGATTAACTGCAAGTAAAAGAAATTTCGAAAGTGCATCTCACTGCTATTATTACCCTTTACACTCGGTTGCAAACCGAACGACTAGAGCATTCGTGTTACAGTTGTCCCAGCAGTTCTCCGTTCTTTTATTTTTCACGAGGAAACATGTCACGTTTGACATTGATGGCTGTTTAAAAGACGAAATAGCTTGATTCTGAACTGTTACGTAGCATAGTAGCCTAATAATATCTGATGATCACCATTGTTTCAGAAAGAGTGTTAACTCTTTCCAAATGCGCACGTACATTAATATAATATAATTCTTTTTATTTCGTTTCATCAGAATTTTATAAATTAATTGGGACGAACTACTGATTGAAATTTTGTTCTCTTATTAAATTGAATTGCCAATACGAATATTATGGATTTATATCTAATAAATTATCTCTGCTGTTGCCACTGCTGAAGCCTCCTTTTGTCCCGCTCTTCTTCCTTCGACTCTCTTCTTTTCTCCTATAAAAATACACGTAAGTTTTTCTATTTCTCTATTTATAATCATATACCAAATGAAATCACTTACTTCATCGAACGATTGTAAACAATATTTTCCACTATGCAAATGATTACAGCTACAAGTATGCCGAATGCTAATAAAATCAGAGCTGGCGCAGTTTCATAGATCGTGATACTTCTCGTGGACAAAGTATCGGGTTGACACTGTGGCTTCCTCGACGACCAACGTTTGATTTGCCGATTACGAAGTCCCGTATTAAACATCTTTATCAATCTTCAAAAACAAGTAAGTTTAATTTTATTAAAGTTGCATTACAAAAGCATACGTTTCATACACTAAACTCAAAGATAAATGTTCGATAAATGTAGAGATTATTAATTCGAGCTCACCCGATTTTTGCTATTTCAATGAACTGTCCATTATGACTGGCGTACATTCCCATCACTGATTGTTTGAACAAATGAATCTCCGTCAATACGCAGATTTTATTCGAGTCGAACATTCTCTCGACATAGGGATAGGCTGTATTGGGATCTGTATGATACGCTAAAATTCCTTGACCGACTTGTTTGATACCCTCTTCTATCGAGAGATATCTTTTCGATTCTGGCAGAGGGTCCCAGCGTTTCTTGCGAAAGTAATCCGACTCCCAGTTCAATCTCTATCAATAATGCCATTAATATTGTAATTTTTGCAACATTGATTTCGTTTGTCTTAAACAATTTTTTTTTTCATTCGTTTCTTAAATTCCCTGTTCCTTTAAGAAATTTCGAACTTCGTAAAATTTTAGAAAGAA